TGGCTCTAAACCTCAATAAAGTTGTACTTAGTTTGATATACCCTGACCAAATAGGGTTTATATCACGTACCTGGTGATGGAGGCCAATGGAGAGAAGGCTTCCCTTGCAGCTAAGTTCCGGACTCCCCTGAGAGTGGGACAGCGGGAGTCAGGCCCAAAGGTGCACAGGTTGCCTGTAGAAGTGCTGGTTGGTGGTCCACTCAGAAGCACAGCTGGTGCACGGAGATAGGTCTGCAGACAGGAGGCGCCTGTGCGTGGTATGCAAGCCCTTCTGGGATTCAGATGTTTACTGGGTAGTCGATTTGAAGCCAAGGTCAGGTACCAGGTGGGAATCAGAGCAGACGTAGTCAGATGGGATAGCCGAGCTCATACACAGAGGAGCGAGAGAAAGAGTATCCGTAAGCCAAGCCGAGGTCAGATCGGGGTAAATCAGAGTAGACAGGTCCAGGAGCAAGCCGAGTCAGTATTAGGAAATCACAGGTCACAATCACAGGAAACAGGAACAAGGCACGGGGAGCTAGAGATCATTCAGCAACTTGAGGAAGTGATGAGCCTCCTTATAAAGGCCGTCTGGCACCAAACTGAGGCTGATGCATGCTTCTGCGGCCATGCAGGGTACTAGCAGAAATGCCAGATCTTCCAGAACTTCTGCCGTGGACAGGACCCTGACAGTGCCCCCCTAAAGGGCAGCCTCCAGATGCCCACCTGGGCCATCTTTTCAGGATACCTGGAACTAAATTCTTGGAGAAGCCTGGGGGCATGTACATTGCCCTTTGGTTCTCAGGAACTTTCTTCAGGTGGGTACCCCTTCCATCTGACCAGGTACTGGATTTGTCTTCCCCGCCTTCTGCAGTACAGAATTGCTTCAACCTCGTATTCTGTCTCCTCCCCAACTGTTATCGGCGGAGGAGGTGGTTCTACTCTCCCTGTAAAAGGATCAGGAACAGCTGGCTTGAGTAGGGAGATGTGGAAAACTGGGTGGATCTTGTATGATTCTGGAAGAAACAGCTCAAACGCCACTGGATTGATTTCCCTCTTGATCCGGAAAGGGCCAATGTACCTTGGACCCAACTTACGTGACGGGCATGGGAGTTTTAGATTGGCAGTTGATAGCCAAACTTTGTCTCCAATCTTCAGAGGAGGGTTTCCTCTCCATTTTCTGTCATGGTGTTTCTTATAATCATCCTGGGATTTCAGTATAGACTCTCAGAGGACTTTATAGTTGTTCTGTAGCATGGAGAGTCTGTCCTGTACTGCGGGTACCGAAGCTTCAGGAATGGTGTCAGGTATGAAGGAAGGGTGGAATCCATAATTGGCCCAAAATGGCAACTGATTTGTAGCAGAATGGACTGAATTGTTGTAGGCAAATTCTGCTAATGGGAGTAGGGATGCCTAGTCATCCTGAGAAAAAGCAGAGAAGCACTGTAAATATTGCTCCAAAGTCTGGTTCGTTCACTCCGTTTGCCCGTTACTCTCGGGATGGTAGGCGGATGATAAGCAGAGTTCCACCTTCAGGGCCTTGCAGAGGGCTCTCCAGAACCTGGACGTAAACTGCACCCCTCAGTCTGAGACAATATTACTGGGCAGACCATGTAACCTGTCAATCTCTTTGATGAAGGTTAGTGCAGTCTCTGGGTGGATAGAATACCCACCATTGGTAAAAAGTGGGCCATCTTGGATAGCCGATCCACTACTACCAAAATGGTAGTAAACCCCTCCGAGGGTGGCAAATCCACAATAAAGTCCATTGCGACCATCTCCCAGGGACGATCAGGAATGGGCAGGGGCCTCAGCAACCCCCAGGCTTTGTCTCCCTTGTTCCGCAGACACACTGTGCATGACTTTACATGGGCTCTACAGTCATGATTCAGAAGGATCGCTGGATTTGTACCATTGTCTTACGGGCTCCAAAGTGTCCAGCCAGATGATGGTCATGGAAAGCCCTGAAAACTTGAGACCTCACTTCTTGGGGTACAAAGATTTTATCCTTGTGCCAAAGAAGACCATCCTGCCTTCTAAGTGAATCTTGTTCGGGTTCAGGACATAGTGCAGAGGCTTGCTTGATTGAAGACTTTAGGCTGGGTTGGATCAGCAAAAAATTCTGGGCCAACAAAATGGTGTTGGGGGGAGAAAGCTCCTCTGGGTCTGGGAACATGCAGGAAAGGACATCTGACTTCCCGTTTTTCGATCCTGGGCAGTAGGTTATGTGGAAGTTAAACCTGGAGAAATATAAAAGCCCATCTAGCCTGTCGAGGTCTTAGGCACTTGGCGGACCTTAGATACTCCAGATTTTTATGATCTGTGAAAATCATAATTGGGTGGCTGGTTCCTTCCAAGAGATATCTCAATTCTTCGAAGGCTATCTTAATCGCTAAAAGTTCCCTATCACCCACATCGTAGTTCCTTTTGGCTTGGCTCAGTTTTCTAGAACAAAAAGCTATTGGGTGAAGCAGAGCCTTTGGGCCCTGGCACTGGGAGAGTACGGTTCCTGTAGCAACTTCAGATGCGTCCACCTCCAGGATAAAGGGGAGTGTTGGCTCTGGATGCTGTAACACAGGAACGGAGGTGAACTGATCTTTTAATTGCTCAAATGCTCTTTGAGCTTCCTAGCTCCAGCAAAAAGGTGTATGCTGGCGGGTGAGTTGAGTAATAGGGGCAATGATTATAGAAAAGCCCTTAATAAATTTCTAATAGAAGTTGGCGAAACCCTTGAATCTTTGGACCCCTTTCTTGTCTGAAGGTGCAGGCCAATCCAGGATAGCAGATACTTTCTGAGGGTCCATGGAGATTCCCTCGGTGGAAATTATGGGCCCCTGGAACTGGATGGACTGCTTTTCAAACTCACACTTCTCCACCTTGGCGTACAAGCCATGCATCCTTAGAGTGTTTAGCACTTTCCTAACGTGATCACGATCGAGTTCCAGTGAGGTAGAGAAAATTAGGATATCGTCCAGGTAGACAATCACAAAAAGGTCAAGGTACTCTCTAAAGATGTTGTTCACAAAGTGTTGAAACATAGCAAGGGCATTACATAGCCCAAATGGCATCACTAGGTACTCAAAATGTCCGAAGCGTGTTCTGAAGGCTGTCTTCCACTCATCGCCCTCTCTTATACGTACAAAATTGTAGGCCCTTCGTAAGTCCAATTTAGTAAACACTCGGGATGTACGAAACCTCTGAAACAACTCGGGCACCAAAGGAAGAGGATACTGGTTTTTAATCGTAATTTTACTAAGTTCCCTGTAGTCAATGCAAGGTCTGAGAGACCAATATTTTTTTCTGCAAAGAAAATAACAGCCCCGGCAGGAGAGGAAGAGGGGTGGATGAATCCTTTAGCGAGATTCTCATCTAGATAGTGCTGGAGGGCTTCCAGCTCAAGTTTGGACAATGGAAAATTTCCCCAAATGGTATTTCTGCCCCTGGGAGCAACTCAATTGGGCAATCGTAAGACCGATGAGAAGGCAATGTGTCGGCCTTCTTCATATGAAATGCGTCAAGGAAGTTGTGGTAGGTGGAGGGAACTGATTGACTGGCCTCTGGTGGAGGTTGGACTGAGAGAAATACAGAAGACTTGGTGAGAGCAGGGGCACCACAGTGTTGTAGACAATATTCTGAAGAAAAGATGATTTCCTTCTTGGGCCAATTGATCTGTGGGTTGTGGGTTTGCAACCAGGGTATTCCTAGGCTGGCTGGAAACATGGGGGATCTGATCATGTCAAAACGAATAAACTGCTCATGGCCAGAGTCGGTGGTTGCAAGAATAGGAATGGTTTCCTGGGTAACAGGTCCAGAACTCGGAGCAGTGCCATCCGCAAGTAAGACGTCAAGTCTCTGTTTCTTAGGCAGAAGAGGGATGTGTAAGTCCTTGGCCAATTGGCTGTCTAAGAAACAGCTACAAGCTCCCGAGTCAACGACTGCTTGCAACTTCTAGCCCCTTCTAGCCACCTGCAATGACATGGGGAGAATGACATGGGTGGTTAAAGTCCCGAAGTAGCTGAAGGTAGGAAGGATGGGGCTGGCTGGACTTACTTGGTCGTACTGGACAGTTACACAGGAAGTGGCCCCACAGTAAAGACAGAGGTTGCCTTGCTGTCTGTGTAGCCTTTCTTCCGGAGTTAGGGCAGGTCGGAGAAGGCCGATTTGCATAGGTTGTACCTTCGAACTGTTGATGGGTTGCGGAGCAAGGGCAGGAGCTGTTGGTCCTGGAACTTTTGGCAGAACCCAAGTGGGCCGAAAGGTCTGAGTACGCTCAGCGCATCTTTCCCGTAGACGCCGATCCAGCTGAGTAGTGAGCAGAATAAGGTTCTCCAAGGAGGAGGGAGCTTCCACCCTAGCTAACTTGTCCTTGAGGGACTCGGACAGGCCTAGGAGGAACTGGTACTTCAACGCTGCATCGTTCCAACTGGTGTCTGCAGACCATTTACGGTACTCCACTATGTAGTCCTCCACAGGCCGCCGACCTTGTAGTAGAGTATGGAGAGCAAACTCAGCAGTGGAGGTCCTCTGGGGATCATCATAGAGGGCAGTCATGGCTTCAAAGAATTCACTCACTGAATTGAGTGCTGGGCTCTTTTGTTCCAGAAGACTATGTGCCCAACACTGAGGTTCTTCAGACGAGAGAGATGATGAACCCGACCTTGACCACTTCCAGAGAAAAGGTCCCGGGTTGCAGAGCAAAATATAATTCACAGGCATTCTTGAAAGCTCTGAACTTACGTCGATCCCCGAGAAAACGTTCAGGAGTAGGAACTCTGTGTTTTGGAGGTGGTAACACTATAGCAGGAGTGGTGGCAGGAGACTGACTGGCAGGTGTGGCTACTGGGTTGGAACTGGCGGAGGGATCCTGGTCCGCGGAAGTAGAGAGGGAGTGAAGACGCCCTTCTACCTGGAAGTATCCTTGCTATAGATCCTTCACTGCTTGGGTAAGTGCCATCATCTGTTGGCACAGGGCCTCTAGTGTGGAAGAGCCTCTCTTGGCCTCAGACATACTGGCTGGATCATACTATCACATACCTGGTGATGGAGGCCAGTGGAGAGAGGGCTTCCCTTGTGGTTAGGTTTCGGACTCCCCTGAGAGTGGGACAGCGGGAGTCAGGCCCAAAGGTGCACAGGTTTCCTGTAGAAGTGCTGGTTGGTGGTCCACTCAGAAGCACAGCTTGTGCACGGAGATAGGTCTGCAGACAGGAGGCGCCTGTGCGTGGTATGCAAGCCTTTCCGGGATTTAGATGTTTAGGTACGGTACCAGGTGGGAATCAGAGCAGATGTAGTCAGATGGGATAGCTGAGGTCATACACAGAGGAGCAATAGAGAGAGTATCCGTAAGCCAAGTCAAGGTCAGATCAGGGGTAAATCAGAATAGACAGGTCCAGGAGCAAGCCGAGTCAGTATTAGGAAATCACAGGTCACAATCACAGGAAACAGGAAAAAGGCACGGGGAGCTAGAGATCATCCAGCAACTTGAGGAAGTGATGAGCCTCCTTATAAAGGCCGCCTGGCACAAAACTGAGGCTGATGCGTGCTTCTGCGGCCATGCAGGGTACTAGCAGAAATGCCAGATCTTCCAGAACTTCTGCCGTGGACAGAACTCTGAAGTTTAGGTCCGATAAGAACACGGCCTTTAACCTTAGACTGTTTATAAACTTACAGACTCATCATCACTATGTAGGATCGAGAGTAATAGCTTCCTTGGATGACACCAAGACAATTGACTCTGTGGAATGGGATTGTCCTTTTGAGATATGGAATAGGGCCTAAGTTCATTAAGTGGCTCCATATCCTATATCAATCCCCGATTGCTAGGATTTTGGTTATGGTAGAGTCTCTAGAATGTTTCCACTTTCCAGGGGCACGCAGCAAGGATGTCCCTTATCTCCTTTGTTCTATGCCCTGGCCATCAAACCCCTTGCCATAGCTTTTAGATCACAATTGGCAATCCATTGATTGAAAGTGTGCCAGTTGGAGGAAACCATCAGCCTGATGATTTTCTTTTGTACTTGGCAGATGCAGAACCTTTCTTGTTAGCTGTATTAGATCACATAGACCAGCTTGGAGCATATTCAGGGTTGAAAATAAACTGGGACAACTACCAAGTCCTCCTCCTTATTGATTTTTGAATAAATATTTAGTGTATCTGTATATACTGATGTTTATCATTTGAACCCAGAGTTCAGCTATTAGCTGGCTTCCGAGCTTCACATTATGCAGTATGAAGCAAACAAGAAAGAGGTTATGCATGCCTGGATTTAAGATGGTATTGTGCACATCATGCACAGCTACTAAATCCATAATTTTCTGTACACCTCACACAGTACAGCAATTAACTAACAAAACCTTAATCAAAAAGACATTGCTGCTATTTGATGCTAAATTGTACATAAATGTTTTATTTAGTTTAGGATGCACTAATAATATTCTTTCATTGATTCTCAGCGGCCTTTGTACCTATCACATCTTAGGATCTGACTAGACTAAGAACCTAACAACACAATTGAACAGAATACAGAAAATGGCCAGGAGTTGATCTATCTGATTTCTCCCCAGAACATTCTTTAGCTCTATCCACGAGCATTTATTAAAATTAATAGGTCCCATTCTCAGAATTCAGTAACTATTTTCAAAATGATATACTATGTTGAAATGGCAATATTTGATAGGAGCTCCCATCAGGTCTTATGGATGGCATCTTTGGACTGTATTGCTAGTATAATGATAATGGCCTTGTGGCGGTATGTAAAGGGATGAACTGATGCTGATGCTGTATCTTCATAAACTGCCAGTCCATTATCTTGCCATAAACTCCATCTTTTCCGACACTGCGTCCATTACTCCAACATATTATAAATGACTACAAACAATAAAATCTTGAGAGCAGCCTTCTGAATGTGCAGTGCTGTTTATCATGTTCAGTACATTATTTTGGTTGAACTTGTGGAAGGAATCAATCACAGGGAAAAATGACATTATCTACATTTTAGTTTAGGTCCTAAAAATATCAGCATGCATATATATTTTTGTGTACAATATACACTATATTGCCAAACGAATTGGGACACCCCTCCAAATCATTGGATTCAGGTGTTCTAAGCACCTCTATTGCCACAGGTGTATAACATCAAGCACCTAGGCATGCAGACTGCTTCTACAAACATTTGTGAAAGAATGGGTCGCTCTCTAGAGGTCATATGGCCTTCAGATTAGCACCACAGCAGTGCGTAGAGTACTTCATGGAATGGGTTTCCATGGCCAAGCAGTTGCATCCAAGCCTTACATCACCAAGTGCAATGCAAAGCGTCAGATGCAGTGGTGTAAAGCACGCCACCACTGGACTCTGGAGCAGTAGAGACGTGTTCTCTGGAGAGACGAATCATGCTTCTCTGTCTGGCAATCCAATGGATGTGTCTGGGTTTGGCAGTTGCCAGAACGGTACTTGCCTGACTGCATTGTACCAAGTGTAAAATTTGGTGGAAGGGGGATTATGGTGTGGGTTTGTTTTTCAGGGGTTGGGCTTGGTCCCTTATTTTATTCCAGTGAAGGGAACTCTTATGGTGTCAGCATACTGAGACATTTTGGACAATTTCATGCTCCTAACTTTGTGGAAACAGTTTGGGGATGGCCCCTTCCTGTTCCAACATGACTGCACACCAGTGCACAAAGCAAGGTCCATAAAGACATGAATGAGTGAGTTTGGGGTGGAGGAACTTGACTGGCCTGCACAGAGTCCTGATCTCAACCTGACAGAACACCTCTGGGATGAATTAGAGTGGGGACTGCAAGCCAGGCCTTTTCATCCGACATCAGTGCCTGACCTCACAAATGTGCTTCTGGAAGAATGGTCAAACATTGCCATAGACACACTCCTAAACCTTGTGGTCAGCTTTCCCAGAAGAGTTGAAGCTGTTATAGCTGCAAAGGGTGGGCCAACTCAATATTGAACCCTACGGACTAAAACTGGGATGCCATTAAAGTTCATGTGTGTGTAAAGTAAGGCATCCCAATACTTATGACAATATAGTGTACTTATCACCCATATGAAAATTAAACTGCAGTGAAAATCTTTTTTCTGCTCATTGTGGAGTTAATAAAGCAAAATGATGCTATAGGAAAGAATTTTTGTTGCTAATACCCACTATCAATGTTTGTAATTTTTGGTGTTCATCATGTTGTTTTGAGTATCTGAGTAGAACAGTATAATATCACATATGTACAACAACCTTGATGTGCCTGTTGGAAAGATTTCCCCTCTCTTTCTAAAAAAAAAAACCCCTAAGACTGCTTTTAAAGAGTATAATTTTTTTCTTTGGCTACCTAGTAAGGGTGCTGGAAAATGTTACATAGTTAACGTGTTATTAAACCCACAACATTACAATCAGTCTGTGTATGCAGCAAAGTATGCTTGTTCCACTCACTGTGGAACCTAAGGGGTTAATCCTCCATATTGTGGAAAAAGGATGTTTGATCCTGTCTTCTCTGATCCTTCCCTTCTTTCAGTGTCTCCTAAATATCCCCTGGTAGAACAGAGAGGGCAAGCTGCACATGCACAGTTTGGTGTGTATTGCTACAGAGTTTTTTTTGTTCTTGGGGGAGTGCATGTGATCAGCACAGGGCCAATCAGTAGTGTCCAGACAGAGGGTCAGGGATCCTGTATCCTCCTACAAGAGAATGAAAACTCCTCCTACAAGCTGTAACCAGTGCTCTGCTGGCAGTTTATATTTACTAAGTAATTGCATTTCCATGCTCTGTGTACTGTGGGAGACCAGATATAGTGAATGCAGGGTCCTGGGTTTAGTAACACTTTAAATAGTTGGTAAAGTTGAAAAAAGGCATTGGTCCATCCAGTTTTACCTAAGTATGTAGGTGTCATGTCTATAAGCAGGTTGAGATGCTGGTTAGTGAGATAACTTCTGCCCCAGCTGGGAAGGAAAGAGTTGACTTGTTTTTCACACTTTTTGCTGAGCTCTGCCTCTCTCCCTGTGCTGATAACAAAACGTGGGAGGGCTCTGCCCAGACATTCAGTCTGCATGGGAAAGAAGACATAGAACAGCCACAGCAAGTCTGCCTGCTGTCACATCCACCATGTATGGGGACTGCTGGGACATGCGGTGTGCCCTTAAGAACCACTAGCTGGATACTGCCAAGATAGACTTTTATCTATGCAGGTATGCTGGGACAGCCTCAAGCCTGAGTTGGGGATTAGGGGCATTAGGAAAAGACTGTGCACTTTGTTCTACTATGCTGAGAGTTTTGCAGTAAAGCATTTTGAACTTTTATCCATTGCTCGGTTTGAAGTTATAAAGAAGTGTAATGCAAGTGACTGGCACATTCAACACTTAGTCTACAGCTATAAGTCATTAAGCACATAGGGGTATGAAGGCAGCACTACAAGAGTTAACACCATGTGGAGTACACATATGTGGTTACCAAGGGTAACAAAGGTTTATCTAGCAGCCTGCTGCATTTGTGTACATGCGGCAGGTGGGAAAGCCTCTTGCAGGAAGAGTTGTTGTTGGCACTCCGTGAGCAGGTCCATCTCCCATAGCAACAGGAGCAGATCAGCACTGCAGAGGTCCCCAGCCTGTACACAGGTATGGAAGAGGAAGAGGTAAGTGAGTGCATGCATGGAGTCCACACTAGGTGCTTGGCGGGACCCCATTCCATTACTGGTGGTGAGGTAGCTGAGATACGCTGGACAGGTGAAGTTGGCGTAGGGCTTTGTATGTCCCTCCTAAATGCAACAAGTGAAGTAGTGGTGCATGTTTGTGTCTAGAGAGTCAATTACAGTTCAGTCATCTGTTCAAGTTAAGGTACCTCTTGTGTAAGGGAGTGACCAGTCTCAGGTGCCTAGCATAGCCCGGAAGAACCCACTCTGTGGCCTCCTATGTGACCCAGACTTGGTGCCCAACGAGGAAGGAAAGTATGGAGGAAGCATCATCCACCTGCCCCACACAGCCTACATGTCATTACCATTTTCCATATCCCTGTGCATTATGTTTCCTGAGAAACACATCTAAATTTTTTTTTTATGTATCTGCATTCCCCACTGACACCATCAATTGTGCAAGGGAGTTCCACATCTTTACTGCTCTTACAATAAAGAACCTCTTAAAGAGTTTATGATTGAACCGTTTCTCATTAAAACTCATTGTGTGGCCATGTGTCTTCTTTATAGACCTATACATATATTCCCCAGCACACCACGAATCATCTAACATTATCTGAAAGATTTATTGGAGAATGATCACAAATGACAAAGTGCAATATTTCAGAGATGAGCAGTGCCCCTTCATCACATGCCTGACAAACGGGCCATGCACAGCTCTGAAACATTGCACTTCTTCAGT